TGCTATTGATATCCAATAAATTCCCCTGGGTTTTTTCATTTACCTTCTTTGCTACAAGCTAGTTCTTATTGCGCTTCCAAGAACCAATGCAATCTAAGCTTCACAGTTTGAGATCACTTTGAAATTCAGAAGTCAAAATGGGACACCTCTAGCCAAACACATTCTTTTGTTCCTATTAGATTTTATTTATGTTTATTTTCTAACAAAATGGCGTCTTTGTGTACTTCTGTGTGTAATGTTTTGCATTCCAACTATGAGTCCTTAAGCTATTGATTGTGGTTGACTTTTCCTGTGATGAAAGACTCATTTCTATGCCTAATTACGGTTAAGTTAATGAGCTGAAAAATACCAGCTCAGTAGTCCCAATAAAACATTAAATTCACAGGAAGCATACCATAAGCTCCCTATCTAATCCAATATGAAGGGGTCTCATCATTATTTCTACTACCCTATTCCATCCACAACTATAGGAAGGGGCAGGCACCAGGAACCAAACTCTCTAATTCAAGATACCCATTCAGGCATCATTAATCTCTAACTCCTCCAGAAGTGATAGAAGGGAATAGAAAGGACTCAGGGAGTAAAGCCATATCCCAGCCTCAATATCTCCCTGTAGGACTGAAGGAGGAAGATGGAGCTTGGGAGCTTGTCTTCATGTCTCATGAGACCTCGATCCCCAGACCCTCGACTCCTTAAGTCAGAGGATAACCATCGCAGTCTAAGACCAAGGCCAGAACTCTGAAACTGCTTCTCATTTGCCCCTCCCAGGACTTTGGTAGAGGTCAGGAACAGGATATACCTACCTTGCAGTTTCTATATAGATCTAAGGAAGGGTGTAGGACATACTTTGGACAACCTTATCCAAAGGCTGCAAGACAGGACAGGGCATGGCCAAGGTTCACCATCCTAAACTCAGGACCATTTCAGGGGAGAGAGCCCTACCCTAGAATGGAAATGAGGGGACTGTACAAAGCCTAGGATTGCAGACTCAGTTGTATCATCCAGGGCCATAATCATCATGGCTGCTTGAAACTCTCTATATCCACGCTAGATCCAGAAGTGAAGCTTGAGTGGAAAGGGTAAAGAAATTAACATGGAAGAAGACTCATAATAAGATACCAAAAAATCATGGGCTGAAATAACCCCGAGATGAAATCTCAAAAGAAAAAAAAAACACTGCAATTATTACCAGTAGAATCCATAAAAATGAATTCCTCATAAGGACTACAAGGACTACTAACTAAATGACAGAAAAGTGGAAACAAGAGTTAGAAAACGAAATTAAAGCTCTTGAGATAAAACCTGAAGAGAAAATAGCTTAGTCGAGAAGCCAGAAAACATTACTTAGGAGTAAATAGTGAAAAACAGAATGGAATACAGAACTCTCAAAATCAATGATACAATAACAAACGATAGAGCAAGTCAAAGCACACTCACAAAAAATGAAGAGGATATGAGAAATCTACTATCAAAAACATTTTGCCAAGGAGAAATAATGTAAGATTAATGGATTCCCTGAAAACCACAATAAAATAAAAAACTCAGATAACCTTTATCAAGAAATCAGAAAATAGGACCCACATGTCCAAAATATTTTTGTGGTGGCAAAGAATTGGAAATTGAGAGGATGCCTATCAATTGGGGAATGGCTGAACAAGTTGTGGTATATGAATGTAATGGAATACTATTGTGCTATAAGAAATGATGAACAGGCTGACTTCAGAAAAACCTGGAAAGACTGATATGGTCTGATGCTGAGTGAAGTGAGCAGAACCAAGAGGACTTTGTACACAATAACAGCCACTTTGTGTGATGACTGATATTGATAAACTTAACCCTTCCCAGCAATACAAGGATCTAAGACATCTCCAAAGACTTCATGATGGAAAATGCTATCCACATCCAAAGAAAGAGCTATGGAATTTGAATGCAGATTGAAGCATATTATTTGCTATTTTTTTCCCTTCTGTTGAGTTGTGTTTCCTCTTTCTGGTGGTTCCTTTTGTTGGTTCTAATTCTTACTTACAATATCACTAATGTGAAAATATGTTTAATAGGAAAGTAAGTGTATAGCCTATATCAGATTGTGTGCTGTCTTGGTAAGGGTGGTGGGGAGGAAAGGGGAAAAAAAATTTAAACTCAAAAGCATATGGAAGCGATTGTTGATAAATCAAAATAAATCAATAAAAAAATTAAAGTTAAAAAAAAGAAATCAGAAAATAAAACATTCTGGACCTACCAGAATGAGAAGGCTAGGTAAAAATAGAACCCACAGGTCACAACTTTAAAAAAATTAACGTACTCAGAAATGTGGTTATCTAACTTCAGAATTTCGTGTGAAAAGAAAAAAAAACTGCTTCAGACAACCTTGTAGAAAGAGATCCTGTACTAAAAGATCAAAGTCAGATTAACACAAGATGATAAATAGAAGAAAATAAAGGAAAGCTTAGAATATAATATAACAACCTCCAAACAAGACTAATCTATGCTGCAAAACCGAGCATAATCCTAAAAGGTACAACATAATTCCCAAGGCACCACCATAAGTTCTTTTACCTACAGAATTTCTTTCTCCCCAGAGATATAATCTGAAATTTTCTATGCAATTCATTGATTAACCCCAGTTACAACAGATGTCTAATGACTGCCCCAAGAGAGTTGGTGAAATACCCAATACTTCTAATGGCCCCCAGGGTACCTCATTTGTAACCAGGGAGTGAAGGGGAAAATGAGCTTATTTTAGATGTGAAAGAATTACACTCAATACATTTTAAAGAATAAAAAACTTGAGTAACATTATGGTGTCATATCTTCTGCCTGCCTTGATGCTAGCCAATGAAAATTTGAAGAGGATTTTTTTAAGCATAAGAAGTTGTGACATGCTAGAAATGCATGCTAGAAGGGATCAGAAGATATTTGAAATATTTAATCCATTTTCTTCTTTCTGGAAAAATTCAAATAAATCATTCAAGTCAGATTGGCATCAATCTTCTTGCAGCATACAATTTTCTTGTAATATTCTCATTTTGCTCCATCCATGTTTGCAATTGATCAGCTACCATTTTGTCATAATTAAAAATTTAGTTTCTAGAGATAGCATTACTGATATAGCTTAGTATGACAGGAAGGCATTCTTTCTCTTTGCAATAGAATTCTGCTAGCGAAATATATCACAAGAATATAATTTTATAATCATCAGTCTGTGAGCCCTTGCAAGATTCTAGACCTTTTACAGACCCTGTTTTTTGAAGTGTTAATTCTGAGTTTAAAAAAATCCTTGATGAAGATTTGTAATTCTGTTCAAGAAGAAAGTTCCTCTCTACCAATAATTGTGTCATTCCCTCCTCTTCCCCCGCCCTAATCTCAGCAATTCTTTCCTTTGCACGTCTTGGGTTTCTTTTCATTATACAAAAGCTTAAACGAATAAATTGCTCATGAGATGGCCTGTTGATCATGTGTTATGGTACCTTGAAACTAGGCACCATAACCAGAAAATATCATTTTTACCTTTGTTATTAATATACACTGGCTTTGCTACCACCTTTGTTAAGAAAGTTAAACAGTGCCAAGTAGGCATAAATAAAAGCCCATTCTCAATTATCTGTGAGTAGATTTCCAGTTTTGTAGAAAATGATCTTAAACTCACCTTCTCCTCTTTCCAGAGTAGAGGAGACTAGAAGAGATAGGTGCAGATACAGAGATTATCTGGTTATTTTCTACATCTTATGCCTAACTCTGGTATCTGACTGAATGAGTCAGTCTTTATTTGAAGACTAATTAACAAATGATTCCTAGGATTAGATATTGCTTGAGATAATCTGCACTAACATCACCTTTAATTAGAGAACATATTAAGAATTAAGGAATAAGCATGTATTTGAAACTTCAATCAAGGCACAGAACTGCTCCTATCCATATGTTTGCCTCAAGTGCTTTTTTGGTTGCTATTTTACAAGTTACCTATCAAATTTTTGTTTGAGGAATGTCATCATAGAGTTCCCTAGTTAGATAGAAACTCAAGATGTGCTGCATCAAACATACTGACAGATTTGCTGAAGAATTTTCAGACCTCCTCTGGAGTCTGAGGTGCTTCTGAACCTCTAGGAAATGGCACCAGTATTGATCTCCTATCACTGAAAGGTTTCCCTACCATCTTCAAAACTTTAAAACAAATCAGGAAATGTTAAGGTGCCTGATTTCCCTGACTAAATGAGAGGGGGAAAGATGCCACTTTAATTACTAGAAAATGATTCTGCTTGGTAAAGGATAACACAATAAGATTTAAAAAAAAACAAACTGACATAGTTTCCTCTGTTATTCTATAGGGTTCAAGATTAAAATGGTTTTCTCTTTAAGAAAGGATATCTAACTCTTGAGTATGGATGATGATGAATGAGTTGAGCTACATGGGGGGGGTAGATTGATTTTTCAAGTGTTTTGGTTTAAATGTTTCCCTAAACACATTTGTTTCAAATAAGAGCCTTTTCAGGGTAATTTAATCCATATGTTTCAACTTCACTTATACTTCAATCATCCCATTTTGTTCTATTAAAGCTACATGGAATCTGAGATGATTTTGTGGGGGGGGGGGTTGTATTTCTATTTTCTTTTCCGAAATGAAGCAAGTAAGTTACCAAGAGTAAACTAATCAAATACCAAATGGCTTGAATTCTTTGAAATGCTTAGCCTATTATTTTTGATTGGGTTCTGAACCTGGCAATACACGTTTTCCCATCGCTACCTGCAGAGGAAAATGAAAACAATTTGAACACTGTATTTCCCAATTGGTTCATTGACATTTGAGTGCAATATGGTACAGACAGAATCAACATGTTTGGCAGGTGAGTGATACTTGGTATGACCTCACTAAGTTATTTCCCCCCGATTTGCATATCTTGGTAGAGAGACATTTTATGCCCATCATGAAGTAAACAGAAAGAGAAAAAAAAAGTTCAAGGTTTCAAAAGTTGGGATTTATGTAATATTTCTATGCACCATAGGTGGAATGGTTGAAAAATGAAGAGATAATTGATCCTGTTGAAGATCGGAATTTTTATATTACCATTGACCACAACCTGATTATAAAACAGGCTCGTCTCTCAGATACAGCAAATTACACATGTGTTGCCAAAAACATTGTCGCCAAGAGGAAAAGCACGACAGCAACTGTTATAGTCTATGGTAAGCTTTTTTTGTCTTGCCAAAGTTGGGGGGATCCCAGTCCAGTTTGGGTTAGGCCAAAGATTCCCATCTGCATCATTGCTGTAATGAAATACCTCCATACAACCCTTTTCCCACTCCTAAAGAGTCCTCTGTCTTCCCATTCTACCCCAGGCAAGTGATATTTGGATTGTTTCTTGGGTAGTGTAGAGTTATTCATGGTTGAGTTGGAATATCCCAATATAATATCAAACAGCATACGCTCAACTTCATGCTTGTCTCAAAGCCTGGCCATTGGGCACACCAGGTTTATAGCACAACAGCCCTAAGAATGCATGGGAAAGTGTCGAGGTATTATGAGGTTCGTTGAGGAGCACAGAAATAACTAGAATTTAGAATGCCACTAGAAAGGACTGCATTACTATTTTGGAGATGTGGCTTTAAGCCCTTATTGAAAGAATTAATACTTCATTTCTTCCTGAATCTGTGATTTCATGGATGTGAGTGCTTCTTCCTTCAACACAAATTATAGCCCTTATGCGTCTTAGTTAATGAGGCACTGAGACTGCAAATTTATTCATCCTGTGGACAACCTATCGATGAGGTTTTTTTTTCTCCCAACTTGTCTGGGTTGGTCCTCAGAGAAGAGCTCCTGATCCACCATCAGACTGATCCATACCTTTCCAATTTGGTCGGATCTGCCAGATTAGGTGCTCTGTTGGCATAAGAACCCAGGATCTTGCCATGGAGGAAGCATCAAAGAAAGACTTCAGTGAAAGAAATATGTCTCCCTATATGCCTATCTTCCTTTAGGAGACTGATACCCATGATCATGAGTCAGGCTCATCATGTGATTATAGTTTGACTACTACCATACAGTAATTCAGTTGGCTTAGTCTCTATGAGACAGAGTTTTCCACAAGGACTGAAGCTAAAAGGCTTCAGAGTGTAAAAGTGTCTTACAAACAGTCATTTTAGTGATGAGTTGTTGTTGTTCAGTTGTGTCCAATTCTTCATGATCCCATTTGGGATTTTCTTGGCAAAGATACTGGAGTAGTTTCCCATTTCCTCCTCCAGGTCATTTTCCAGATGAGGAAACTGAAGAAAATAGGATTAAATGACTTGCATAAGATCACAGAGCTAGTAAGTGTCTGAGGCCAGTCTTGAACTCACAATGATGTATATTCCTGACTTCAGGCTTGGCACTAACCACTGCACCACCTAGCTGCCCCTTAATGGTAGGACAGACTACTAAGAGAATTTTAAAACCCTGTGATGACTCTGAGCATTAGTTTGCTGGTCAGTTTAAGGGTTATCTCTTACTGTAATTAATTGCCTTCCTTGGATCACAATGGAGATATTTCTTGCTCTGTGTCTGTTGTAAAACAATTCAGTGAGTTCATTAGCAGAATGTGGAAAGCAAAGAAGAGAGAGGGCATGGTCACAATGTACGCAAATCATAAACAAAATACGGTGGTTAGACCTAGATGTATCTCATTGGAGTTCAATGTAGATGCAAGTTTCTCTCTTCGGTAATATAGTATTTATACGGTACTCTAGATCTAGCATATATTATACATACTCTGTTCAAGAATGTTGCAAACACAAGTGACTGGTTTTAAACTGTGAATTAGAATTCAGATTTAGAGCAATTTAAATGACACCTTGCTGAGATTCTTAAACAAGAAATCTGACCTAAGGCTAGTGGGTGAAGGTAATATTTGAATATTCTAGGACAGGGTAGCCTGAGTTGGTTAAGTAGCCTTGGGGAAAACAAACTGACTGCTTTCTTTATAGGCTATCAATATGCCCTACCCTATTCTCTCTTTACCAAAGTCATCAGAGATCAAAAAGAACAGGGAGGAACCATGATGAAGTATTCTAAGAACATACATATAACAATGTTTCTTGCTGTAAGTCAGTTAAATGAATTTCTGGTATATTTGAGATTCATGAAATGATGAATATGGGACATCTAAGGACCACTCTCATAAGTCACTAATAAATGTAGAAGGTACCACTAAGATTTTGAGAACCCTCTTATCTAAGTACTGAGATATCTGAAAAAAGGTCTAGGAAGAATTCTTTAGAAATGAAGAGTACACAATAGGTATGTACATTTATCAAAATGCAAGTAAATTCATAGTTAATCCACATGCTATACTTAATTTACATGCCTTCAGTTATAATAGGCTTCCCATTTTGACTTAATTGGCCATTAATTCATTCAACCAGATAGTCAGCATGGTGGAGAAATAAGTCAAACCTGTTGTTTTGACTAAATTAACTTATACAACTAAATTGAATCAAAATCATTAATATATTTGAATGTGTGCAGTTTGAAAGATAATTAATGGTCTGTCATTGAAATAAGATAGTTTTTTTTTCATATTGACCATAGTCTTTGCATAATCATGTAGAAGAATTGTTTCCATGACAACATTTTAAGAACAATTCAGCTACTCTAAGTCATCATTTTGTAATGGAATAGAATAATAAACTAGGAGCTAGAACAACTTCATTCTTATCTTAATCCTGACACTTAATGGATATCACCTTGGAAAAGTCACTTACCTTGAATGGCTCTAAGTTTCCTTATAAGGCAGTGAGGTGGCACCATAGTGTACAGAGCACAGGGTCTGGAGTCTGGAAGACCTAAGTCAAATCTGGCATCAGACACTCACCCACTAGCTGTGTGAAACTGGGCAAGTCACCTAACTTCTCTCTGCCTCAATTTCCTCAACTGTAAAACAGGGATAAATAGTAGGGTTGTAATAAAGATCAAATGAGATAACATTTGTAAAGTGGGGCAGGTAGGTGGCACAGTCGATAGAGCACTGGCTTGGAATCAGGAAGATTGGTCTTCCTGAGTTTGAATCCAGCCTCAAGACACTTATAGCTGTGTGACTATGAGCAAGTCACTTAACCCTGTTTGCCTCATCTATAAAATGAGCTAGAGGAGAAAATGGCAAACCACTGTAGTATCTTTGCCAAGAAAACCCCAAATGGGATCATAAAGAGTCAGACGTGACTGAAATGATTGAACAACAACAAAATTTCTAAAGCATTTTATTAGGCATGAAATAGGTGCTTAATAAATGCTTGTTTCCTTCACACCATAAAATGTGGTATGGCATTAAAAAAGTTAGAGAGACATAGTTTCTGGGTCATTTGATCATTTTATAATAAGGCTAGCATATTTATTAATAAAAAGAGGTCAGTGTCACTCTCAAATGCCCAAGATCCCTCATGGTGGTGGGCTTACAGTTTATATGCCCTTGGAAGAGTAGGTGTTCCTGACGGTGGCAATTGACTCTCATTGGTTAACAATTGATGAGAAAATGAATATTATAATGAGAGGTTGGGCTCTATTCCAGTGAAGGTTTTGGAAGTATGTGACTTAGATCACCCAAGTCTTGTTCAAAGAGACATATCAATTTCCATATTACTTATCTGACAAAAGAGAGAATCCACATTTTCCTAGACCTGTCTGAGTAAACACAGTGAGCAGGAATTCTCCTATCAGCCCAAACTTAGAATTTCTTTTACTGTCTTTCAGAAAGATTTCCCACACTGGTTGATTTCTGGATGAGGAAGTAGAAAAGGGGAAAACCTTGGTCCTGATTCAATAATTAGTTATTAATACAATCATTTCTCTCAGTGGTGTTTGACTAGATGACCCCTCTGGATCTATCCAATTTTAAAACTTCCACCTAGACTGTTTCACTGTTTCAGAGATGGGCTTAGGGTTTTTAGATGTGTGTATAATGCTGTGTTTATTTTGTTCTTTGTTTTAGTGAATGGTGGCTGGTCCACCTGGACTGAATGGTCTGTGTGTAACAGTCGATGTGGACGAGGTTATCAGAAACGTACCAGAACTTGCACCAACCCAGCACCACTGAATGGTGGTGCCTTTTGTGAAGGACAAAGCGTTCAGAAAATAGCCTGTACGACATTGTGCCCAGGTCAGTAAATCCAGTTTCCCTATTTCCCTACCTCCTGTTAGGCTTTTGATGATAGAAGTGAGTGCAGTCTGCTTGGGCTCCAGTCTAGCAAAGATGTAATCTACTGTGTGTCTCAGAGGAGGTGGGGGAGCCAAAAAAAGTCACCTATATGTTGACTATTCAAGGGCACTCTAAAATAACTGACCTGAATTTGTGAAAAATCATTCAAAAACCATCTTTCCACATAATTCTTATGTTGATAATTCAAGCATTTGATAAAAAGAATATTCACTTGTCACATAAATATGTAAAATTGTATGCAAACAGGAAATCCAAAAATCAGTTAATTTATTCCTTCCACAGTATTCCACAAAGCTTAAGCCAAGATGAATGCTTTGTAATACAAAAGTGTTAAGCAGCACTGAAAGCTGAAAATGTTGAGAACAAAAGTCCTTGGTCCTCAAAAAGCTGTGAAAGTAAATCAGAACATAAATTTAGAAAATGATTTGGAAGGCATCATGCATAACTGTAATGTCAACTTCTAGGCAAGGCAACTAGAAATTTGGGGCATAAATTAAAGAAATTGAGAAAGATTTGTGACAATTGGGTAATGAATTTTGCAAATACTAAACAGCCTACGTTTAATTAACTATACATATGAAGTGTTTAGTTTATAGATTATCCACAGCAATGTCTAATCCCAAGATTGCTTCTTTGCCACCTAGCTCATTTCTAAGCTATCTCCTTGTTGTATTCAAGGAATGAAAATAACATTTAATATTAACCTAAATCAAACACAGCTAAGAAGCATGAATACTATGAATAGAGTATGCAAGTAATACATGACAAAGGGAAATCTAAATGATTTTAGAATGATTCAAATCCCTACAGTACTACATTAATGTGAATAAATTGAGAATTAATTATACGACCAACTTAATTATTTAGGAGTGGATTATCCAGTTTGTGCATTGCCAGACATCTTGCTTCCCTTTCTTCCTTATTTTGCATTTCTCTTGGTAATTTCACTGCTGGGCAGGACCTCCTCCTTCAGATATCACTTAAAGATGGGAGAGTCGCTGAAACCAACATTTATCGATTTCACAGATTCTTGAGTCTCCAAGCAATCACACTCCCACAATGAGCCATTTGGTTATTTTGCTATATGATACTCCATTCGTCTGTAAACTAGACTATTTCTGTCACATAATAACTTCAACTTTTTTTTCATGTGTTGTCCTATCCATGTTATGGTTCCCACGATAACAAGTACAAGTGGATGAACTTGTAAAATATTTATAATGCATATAGACAAAGTGCATTTTAAGCTTTATTAACCAGAAGCATAAATGCTACAAACTCACAAAAGGAATATTTGAAAGGTCTTTCAGGTATTGAAGGGTATTAAAATTCAACTTAACCACTATCTTGTGCTCTACGTCACTCTGGATAATTTTTGAACTTTGTAAAAACTTTCCTTAGCTATGGTTCAATAAATAAAATAATTGTATTTGCAATCTTACCTTTGAGGTTATCCAAAGAATGAGGTTTGGATGCATACGTAATAGTTTTGATTTGACTCTATAAGAAAAAGTCTAATGGAGACAGATCAGTTGACCAAGGTGGTAAACCAATCCGCCATTCTGAGAAAGCATCCTCCGGAAACTTTCATACACACAATGCTTGTACTACCTTTCGTTAAATTAAAATTTACATATGTAACCCTACGAAAGTAATAAAACTAAGTAAGTGCAAAAGAAATTTAAATAAACATTTAAATGATTTTTAAAATTTTTTTACAAGTTTGAGGCATTTATACATCTGAGTTATTAGAACTTAAAACTTCATTAATATTTCTGGGACATTATATATTTCAATTTCACAGACAGATAAACTAGATAGATAGATAATAGATATTTCTTTCGTACTTAGCATTCCTAATTTTCTGGTCATCTGTGGTTTGCATTAAATCTAGGCTGGTATAATACTAAAAACAGCTCATGTTTTTTTGGCAATCATTTCACAACAACCTTGCAGTATATTGATAATATTATAAAGACAATAACAATCCTCGAAAGGCATATAGCACCTTAAAGTTTGGCAAAGCATTATATGTACATTGTCTTGCTGGTACCTCACAACAACCTTTCAAACCAGAATTATTATCACCATTTTATACATAAGGAAACTAAAGTTGAGTGAATTATCCTTGTTCACATAGCTAAATATGAACTTATGTCTTCCTGGTTTCCCCAAAATTGTGAGTACTGCTATCCCGACATTTTACAAATGAAGGGGCCAAAAATCACCCTGGCCAACCACTGCGCCATGCTGTCTTTCAACTTCATGCACTTCATATATAATTAGTGTTGGGAATTTCCAACTATTATGAATGAGTCCATCAATCAACATGCATTTAAGTACATACCATGTTCCAGGCACACTGCTAAGTACTGGATATAAAAAATACAAAATAAAGATAGTTCCTGACCTTAAAGACTTTATATACTAATAGAGGGATAATAATACAGATGGGTGGTCAGGTTTTGGCATAGATAGTCATAGGGAATAGAGCTATAGGGGCAGTAGATTGACAAGCTCTTTGGAAATAGGGAGGGTAAGTATAGACAAAAATCTGTTGTCCTGGTGGTTATGTAGATGGGATTTAAAACCTGGTCTCTGTGGACTAGATATATTGGGTTATGTGTATTTGTATTCGTTGACCAATCCAGAACATCAGCGCCCCAGGATAGAGTCCCAGAACTGAGTGTAATGATTCTCCCTTATGAAAGGATGAGTCACTGTTTGTGATGCAGAGAAGACACTAGTGGAAGAGCAGATAACGAGAAGCCCATGCTGGGTAGGCCCTGGTGGAATGAAACCTCATTAGCCTATATTAGCTTTATATCAACTTCAATTGACCAATCAATCAATGCTGAGAGTCATAATAAGACTGCAAGGTGACTACACAAGAGAGTTAAAATTTTTCAATGAAACAAGAGTTATTACATGGGAGCAAGGGTTACTCGTTAGCCTTTTACTCTTTTAAAGGCCATCAAAGCACGCTCAAAATCAGCACCTATGCATCATTTCAGGCCTGAAATAGTCCCATTAATAACACTACTAGGAAATAGACTTGTAGCAATTGAATTTAATAGCATGTTATAATAGAAAGAACCCTAAAACAGAGAATCAGAAAACTTGGGTTCAAATCCCACCTCTGACACTTAACACCCACATGACCTTGGCCAAGTCACCTACTTTCTAAGCATCAGTTTCTTCAGCTATAAAATGAGGGGTTTGGACAAATGGCCTCTGATGTCCCTTCCAGATCCTATGGTCTCAATACTCCACTCCTTGAGTGACTTAATGCCCCTTGGGACAGAGTGTGTTTTATACACCAAGAGAGGGAGAGCTAGATGAAAAATCCTGAATGCCCACTTGACCTCCCTGAAGGCAATTTTGCCAGATACCTCAAAGGAAGAAAGGGGTCTTGAAAAAATTACCCCAACTTAAGCAATTGTTAATTAGGCTCCTACCATGGCTAAGACAAAATATACATATTGTACTAAACAAACAAAAAAACACAAACAAGATGCAAATGGACTGGTAAATAGAAGGTATGTATGAAGGAATTTCAAGAGGAATTGAATACTTGGGAGATCAGGAAAGGATTGAGTAGGAGGTGCCCCTGAAGATGGCCTGTAGAGGAAGCTAGGGATTCTGAGCATCTGAGGTGATCTTGGCATGCATTGCAGACATGACTGACCATCTGTGCAGTGGCACAGGGAGAAGATAGAAGCTCTTGTACAGAGAACAGCCAGTCGACCAGTTCGAAATATTCGTATTCTATAAGACCAGAAAGAGGAAGGATTTGTAACAGGAGGGACATGGCTTTGCTTTATTTCTGGGAGGTGGCTGGAAGGGTGAAGGGCACCTAACTCCTTGTTAGCAGCAACTTAAGAAAAGCAAAAACTCAAAGCATGGGTCTCTGACTATTACGAAGTAGTTAATGGAGTTTACCCAATAATACAACTACAGCCACCCACAGTAGGAACTTAATAAATGTTTGCTGAATTGAATGGAGTTGGCATGGGCTTACATACAAAGTAGAAAAAATGACATTTACATACTAGTCCTTGCTATCTGGCACTTGCTAGAAGACTCAAAGGGGTCACTGTACAGAAATGACATTTCTAATCTGTGATGGGAAGCAGGGTGGTAGAGGCCCACAAGCATTAGTTTTATAGTATAAGGACTTGGGTTCAAACTCCACCTCTCCCACTTAAGATCACAGGATGACAGATTTAGTTGGAAGGGACTTTAAAGATCATCCAGTCTAATGCCCTCATTATATGGATAAGAAAACTGAGGCCCAGAGGCTAAAAGAGTTGCCTAATATCACATAAGTAATACGTAATATAGCTGAGATTTAAATCCTGGTGTTCTCGCCTCAAATTTGGGCTCTTTCCATTGGACCATTTTTTGGGTAATCCACTTCACTTCTTGGGGGCTCAGTTTACTCACTTATCAAATGATAGAATTGGGGCTAGATGACCTCAGAGTTCCTTTCCAGTTCTAAGCCTTATGCTACTTTTCCCCCTTTCAATCCAGTTTGGCTAGAGACACACAATTCCACTGAGCACATGCATCCTGGAATTTCCTCAAGCTTCTTTTGTTAGCACTTTGGAAATCCAAAAGATGTTGGGAGGGAGTGAAGTGGTAGAATGGAAAAAACACTGGATCTGCAATCAGAAGGCTTTGGTTCAAATCCCACCTCTGATGGAAGGTCACCTCAGAACTTTCATTTCACCAAGTGGTTATTAACATGCCAGTCACTGTACTATAGACTGGAGACCCAAAGACAAACAAAATAAAATGAAACAAAAGTATCCTGCCCTCAAGGAGCTTCTGTGCTACTAGGGACAGGGGTAATGCATGCAGATAAGCAAATAATCTCAAAATTTATACAAAGCAAATAAAAAGTGATTTGAGTTGGTTGGGAAAATAAAATCTTGGCTCTGCCACTACTTATCTGAGCCTCATTTTTTTATTGGTAAAATAAGAGGTTTAGACTCTTAAGGTCTCTTCCATCTCTAGAACCTGTTAGCATTGTTTCATCTGCCCTTTAAAATAAACATGTTACTATGGCTGTTGTGTTTATTAGCTATGTTTCTATGCTATAAGTAACAAAAAATCTCATTCTCAACTTTTTATTTGTACATCTGTGACATATATAAGAAGCATTGTAAGCAAAACCCTGAAGTAATTTATTATTTTGTGTATTTTTTTATGTATAGTACCTTGAAAATGTCAATATCTAGACTGATTTTCATTGAAGTTGCTGACAAGCCTGTCACAACACAGAAGAAATGGTTCTAAAGGACTGAACCTGAAAAATCAATGTGACTTCAGTTCTTATGACAAAATTATGATTTCTCAAAAATAAGACTTATTGGAAGGAATACATGTAAAATGGGGAATCAAATATAGGGGATACCAGGAGCTTTATCAGTAGGGAAAAGGATCATGAGAAAGGCCCTTGGAAAACACAACCAAAATATATCTCCCTTCCAATTTACAGAAAAGACATAGATACCCCACATCCAAGATACTTCTACATTTCCCTAAGTGATGCTATTTTCGCATTTGTTTTTGTGCTTGGGTGGGTGCTTAGTGGATGGTCGGTGGACAGTGTGGAGCAAGTGGTCGACCTGTGGAACAGAGTGTACCCATTGGCGCAGGAGAGAGTGTTCAGCACCAGCCCCCAAGAATGGAGGCAAGGACTGCGAGGGGCTCGTTCTGCAATCCAAGAACTGCACAGATGGACTGTGTATGCAGGGTGAGTAGAGGGAGGAAGTGGAGAGGAGGGAGGAGGATTGAGGTTTTAATATCTGGAGGGCTGTGAAGCTAATAACAGAACTTGAGGATTCTTTGAACCAAAAATGGGGGGGGGAAATCAATAGCATAATAACATCCTGTCTCCTATACACATCAGAAACTACCTATCTGCCCTGAATTAAAATGTATCCTCACTGTGGCAGATAACAAAGGGATAACCCTAAAAAGGCTTATTACTGAGCAAGAATCCACTTGGTCATGTCACAGTGGTACCTCTGATTTTTCTGACTACAGGGTAATACATCAAAACCAGCTCTAAAAGAATGCCATTTCCTGCAAGGATCAATCAGTTATATGAGATAAAGAGATAGGGATGGGGGTTAGACCTGGGATTTTATTGATGGAGGGAACTCCTCCCATGGAAACCCTCTCTGCCAGAGCAGATCAGCACCTTCTCTGAAACCTAGAGTCTCAGAGAGCTGCCTAGATCACTGAGAAGGTAAGTGACTTCCCCAAGACAGAGCCAATGTCAAAAGTGCCCTGCACCAAGCTTTTCCTAGGTACGAGGCCTGCTTTCTGTCTACTATGCCATTCTCTCTCTCTCTCTCTCTATTACAGATAGATGTATTTTAATATATTTTTGTATCTAATAATAATGAGGAAGAGGATATACACATATATGTATATGCATATACCAAAAAAGAAAACCAAAGGAAACATTTAAATATAAAAGCCCAACAGATTCATGTTGGCATGATGTTCAAGAAGAAAAAGAAGTATTTGTGTGTGTTTATGTATCTATATACAATTTCTCATATGTATTTTGTGTGTATATATACTATATGCATACACACATACATACATACATATATATATATATATATATATATATATATATGAATGAATCAGAATTTATACATATAAACATGGAAATGTGTAGATACAGGTATATTTAATATTCTGATGAGTTAGCTCCAGTTTTTAGTGTACTTTAACCAAGTAAATTGAGTAAAGTGATGCTTTAACAACACTTTGAGATGGTTGAAATCATGTGTTAAATACTTTAATGTGAGTTTAATGAAGAAAATTATACCTGGCCCAAATTTTTAATCACAAAAAATGCAGGGAAGAGCATGATAGAGCTCTCTACCACATAATCCTTCCATGAGAGGCTGTTTGGCCTCTTTAGCCTTTCACTTTTACCCTCTGCCTATCTGACTGCTTATTTTGCTGCTATTTATCATGGATCTGGGTGTTAAGAACTGAAATCTGAATTCAAGCCGATGCACATGACTCAGGCAAAACAGCCTGCTGTCTTCTCATCTCAGGCACTGTCATCCATAGAGTGACATTTTTCATCACTAACTATTCATATCCTATCTACCAAAACAATTTGTAGTTTTTCCCCCCACAGGCAGAAAACCATCCAAAGGAATTAGTATTTGGTTCTTGAGTACTTAAAGCAAAACTGATTTTATTTCCTACTGTGCTTATGAAATTCTGCTTATGTAGACATGACCTTTAAAAAAACAAATTCACTGAAAAAAGATCCAAATAACTGTATTTTGAGTGTATGATAAAATCCCTATGGGAACTTTCTTTTTATGTTGATGGTACATTGCATTATTTGGAATGCTACTGCTGAGTGTGGATACTCATCATAATATGTGGAAAATAGAACTATGAATTTCACTCAAATGTAGAAATGATACAATGAAAACACCACGGCTGTAGTATTAACCTCCTAGCCAGAGGTAGAATGCTCTTCCTTCAGGTGTGAGCTTTGATGTGAAGGTTTTAATGATATGTTTTATCACTGGTGCATCTTACGATAATATTCGTTTCAAGGTCATTTCACATCCCCTTGTTGCTGAACAGAATGGCATGTATTATTACACATGACACTATCTGCATCTGCTCTCACTCTTTATCCTTTTATTTCCCTTTTTCTCTTCTGAATAAAATTTAAATCTCAACCTCTTCCTCAGATTCTAACCTTGTCTATCCTCCAGACCATATTTCATTATTCCTTCACCCCCCAAAAATAAAATCATAACAAATAAGTAATGCAACAGAGAGCACTTGGCTTTGCTTCAGTTCAAGAGATAAAATGATTCCAGTTTGTAGTTTTAGTGTATACTGACATAAAATATTGGAATCTTAAAGTCTGTGACTCAGGACCTTAAAATCTAGATTTGATCACTTAAGGAATTTCTCAAAAATTTCCCTCATGACTGAAAAAAATTTTCAGAAAATATGAGACAGACTTGTTTTGAAATAAGAGGATTAAAACCAAGATTGGGGAAAGAGTTCATGATCAAATCTACTGCAGATTTGAACTAGCTTGGCATTAAAATTTAATTCTTCTGCTTAAATTACTTCCTTCAAGGCTTTGATTTTCTAGAGTAACATTTTTTGAATCATCATTGGGTCATAGATGTAAAGCCCAAAGGGACTTCAAGGGGTCATCTAGTCCAGTCTTTTTTAATTTACCGCAGGGGAAACTGAGGCCCAGGGAGTTTTGATGACTTGCCAGAGGTGACACAAGTAGAAAGTATCAGAAGTGGGATTGGGAAACAGGTTCTCTGGCTCCAGAGTGAAGCAAGGCTCTCCCCACTAAGAAAACTGAGACAATTTTGATTTCTTAAAATTAAACAGTCTTTACATGAACAAAATCAGTGAAGACAGAAGAAGAGAAACTATAGAGTGAGGAAATATTTGTATCAAATTTTCCAAAGTGTGATACCCAAGATAGATGGGAAATTGATGCCAGCTGATAACCGCAATGGCCCTTTTCTATTGTCAGAAGAGGAAATACAACTCAAAAAGGCCATATAAACACATGCTACCAAACACAAATAGGGAGAGACAATTTGGAGGTTTCCCTTCAAATTTTGCAAACAAACAATAGGAAGAGTCTCTCTTGGATGGAATACAGAAAGAAGACATGTTAACACTTTGTTAGTAGAGCTGTGATTTATTCTAAATATTCTGGAATACAACTGGGAATTGTGCTAAGGTTAAAAAAAAAAGATAAAAATACCTGTACCTTTTGACCCAAGGATCCCATTACTGGGCATATATCCCCAAGGAAATCAAAGACAGAAGCAAAGGTCCAACATATACCAAAGTATTCATATGAACACTTTTCCTGGTAACTAAGAACTAAAAATAAAGTAGGTTCTCTTAGAGTGGGGGTGGGGGGGAATCTTTGGTCACTGAATGTGACTTCGTAATTAGAAATAACATAAACAAAGAATTTAGAGAACCCTGAGGAGATTTTATGAACTCATTAGAGTGAAATAAGTGAAATTGCATATCAGTATACACAATGACTACAACAATGTAAATTACAAAGGTCATAGAAATGAGGCAGAACTCTGAGCAGCTGAAAAATCACTCATGGTCCTGATATAAACAGAAAATATAATACACCTCTCACCACCCAGCTGGAAAGGAGTGGAGTAGGAGGACAGAAGATTGCCAGTACTGTTGGATGCAAGCAGTGTTTCAGGTCTTTTTGCCTAGTTTTTTCTCCATTCTGAGAGTGAGTCCAATCTGGAGGTATTTGTAGTGTTTTTATTTAAAAATGGCTGTGAAATAATGATAAAAAATGAATCAATAAAATGTATTTTTAAATTAAAGAGAGGGATTTGAATAGGCATTGGTGAATTTTCTTTTTCGTCAGTATTTGTTGGCTAAAATCATTTTACTAAAAACACTTGAAGCGTTTATTAAAACAAACTGTACTGTATTAATTATTGGGCAGAAGTAGGGTGGAGAATACAAAGATAGTTTCAATTCTAATTCTATGATGCTTTAGAATTTACAAGTCACCAAAATCACAACAGACCAGTGAAGTGAACAGGACAAGTATTATTGTGACCATTTTAAACATGAGTAACTGAGACAGGAATGTTGATGACCTGCTCATTATCATGTGGATAGTAAATGTTGAAGCCTAGATTCAAATCCCAAACTTATGACTCAAAGTCCACTAGTCCCTTAATCTCCAGGAGTTTATAATCTAGTAGTGGGAGATAAAATATGGACACAGATAAATATACATAATTCTTCAAATCAGGATTCTAATGTGCATAAATTATAAAAATAAATCATAGCAACATTAAATAGATGTTTAGTGACAGTATTTCCCAGAATAAACTCAGCCTACCAGATTTTCAATATGTTCTCCAAAATTGCATAAATAAAAATTACATTGAAATGATAATTATGTAAAATGAAGCATATTTGCTGGCAGGGCGGGAAGGACAGTCCAGAGCTCAGGGGGGAAAATAAGTAGATCACATAAACCTTCAGAGTAACATTCTATTTAAAAGACCAATGCAATAAAATCTATGAATAGCAACATAATATTCAAGATGTAAGAAGTAATCCTCCTATTGAGAGCGAGATGGTATTTATAAAGCACTTTGCAAACTTAAAAGCACTATGTAAATGCTAGCTATTATGACTGTTATTAAAATTGGATTTGCTCAATCCTTTATCAAAGACAGGTCAGTTAGAGGCTGTGAATACTAAACCATGCCTAACTCACTCCCACCTAGAATTCCCTCCCAAATAGCATATGCTGTACTTTTCCTGTAGCATTTTAAAGTAGCAGGGAAACAAAAATGTATTCTCTTAACATCATAATTTTCAATAATTTATCCACCATCCACTTCATTCCTATGGATTTGTCATCTTATTGATGAGGACATTCCCTCCCACAATGAATACAGCAACCTCCTCTTGCCTTCTCATCTTTTATAATTCTCTTCCAGGTCCTTCCGTTAACATCCCTATCCCTCAAACTCTCTAACCCATGACACCAAACCCTATCCCATCCCACCCATGGAAGATCTACTCAATGCACAGGAATCTTTTCTCTGGATTTTTCAGCATTTCTTAGGCACCAGACCCAAATTCCTATTTTTTTCCTATTCCTACGCTTTGAAATGTCAAAATCAGATGGCATTTTAATTAAATATCTGAATCATA